AAATTCGAAACCGTTCTGGAGATAATCGTGGGACAGACGGACAGACGGACAGACATCGTGAAATCAATGAGTGACTTCGCAAGCTTCGCCACTTAATAATAGTTATTGTAAGTCATTTCTAATTCATTACTACTGATTCGTATCTCGATAAATATCTCTATTCATGGAAGCACCATCAAGAATCCCAGTGACTTTCTTCAAACAATTTAATATAATAGATGCATATTGTATGTTGCACAATTAATTGCACAAATCAGTTTAGAAACAGTTTTTATTTATAGGATAGGGTGACAAACGAGCACACAGTCCACCTGATGGTAAGTGGTTGCTGTGGCCCATAGAAATCTATGTACAATGTACATCTATCCTCGATTACGAATCAAAATGCAAATGCGTTGTCACCCGTGAGGGCTATGATGGAATGCCTCTTTTCCAGTAAAAAGGGTATCCGGTTCTCTAAACTCACCATACGAAACACAACAGTTTTAAGCTGATATTTTACGCTGGTATTCTGTGAGAGCATGGTCTATCCCCGGTTGAGCCGACCCATTCGTGCTCTAACTATACTACTAATATAGCTACAGCATGGCTCTACCACGTATGAAAAGCAGCAAACTACATTTTCCAGGGGGTATTATTATAATTATATAAATTTTTTAGGTCCTTCGCGGTGTTGTGGCAGTGCAATAGAATACTATACCAGTGGGTGTCGTAAGAGTCAACAGAAATTAATCAGAAGAAGGGACAACAGTCTTCCTGATAATAACTCTAAATAATGAAACTGAACTAAACTAAACTTCCTCAGCGAGCTATGGAGAGGGCTATGCTCGGAGTTTCTCTGCGTGATAAACTTTGAAATGAGTATATCCGCAGTAGAACCAGAGTAACCGACATAGCCCAACGGATTAGTAAGCTGAAGTGGCAATGGGCCGGCCATGTAGCTCGAAGAACCGACAACCGATGGGGAAGAAAGGTTCTCGAATGGCAAGTGTAGGGCGTCCCCCCACTAGATGGAGTGACGACCTGGTAAGATATGCAGGAAGACGATGGATGCAGGTGGCTCAGGACCGTGCTTTGTGGCATTCCTTGGGGGAGGCCTGTGTTCAACAGTGGACTTGTGAAGGGCTGTAATGATGATGAATGATGATGGCTCTACCACGTATGAAAAGCAGCAATCTACATTTTCCAGGGGGTATTATTATAATTATATTAACTTTTTAGGTCCTTCGCGGTGTTGTGGCAGTGCAATAGAATACTATACCCGTGGGTGTCGTAAGAGTCAACAGAAATTAATCAGTAGAAGGGACAACAGTCTTCCTGATAATAACTCTAAATAATGAAACTGCGGTTGTCGCCAACACTACTACCAAGCATGGCAACTATGGAAAAAACAGACTATCTACGGGCGAGGTTTGTGGCCTGTGGACTTCAGATAGTCAGTAATGATTATATACATACTAGCTGACCAGGCAGACGTTGTTCTGCCCTTTCCTGGGATGACCCTTTCTCCAATAAAAAAATCCTTAAATTCCCAATAAAAAATGTTAAGGGTCACTTATCGGGATAAAAACTATCCTATCTCTCAAGTTGGACCAAACTGCACACAGTGTGCAAAACTTCATTGTAATCAGTTCAGTAGTTTAGGAGTTCATCACGGACAAACAATGTGACACGTAACTTTTATATATAAAGATGAATGATAATAAATAATGAACATTTATTTAATCTTTGTTTAATCTTTCATTAATATTAATATTAGTGAGATTCCTACTCTTTTAACTGGCATTTACGCACCATAACCGTTCTTAAACACGAAGCAGCCGTTTTTGAACTGCATTTGTGGATAATTTACATCTCGTCGACGTCTGTTAAGTGAAATTATAACGCATCGCACAGTGTTTGGTACAAGAGGCTGTCAAGATGTCATACAAAATATCACGTCCATAATTATTGTTTATACTAGCTGTTCCCCGCGACTTCGCCCGCGTGATATTTGGGGTTTTAATTTTATTGCGCGGAACCCTAATTCTTTTTCTAAAATAAAAGTAGCCTACGTTACTCCTTGTGACATCAGCTATCTGCCAGTGAAAATCCCGTAAAAATCGGTCCAGCCGTTTCGGAGATTAGCCGGAACAAACAGACCGACAGACAGACAGACGGACAGACAGACAAAAACTTTAAAAATTGTATTTTTGTTATTAGTACCGTATACACTTTCATATGCATTTAATAAAAAGATGTAATTTTGACATTACAAACAGACACTTCAATTTTGTTTATTTGTATAGATTTATTACTAGCGATCCGCCCCGCCTTCGACCGGATTGGATCTATTAATGTGGCGGTACTTAGATTTAAGATGAGCAAAGACCATTTATTTTATTTAATGTTTCGTTTTTACAAAAAAAACTAAGTGTTTTGAATAAAATATCGCATAGATCCCTCCTGGCTCTCTATCTACTCGTAAAGTTTCATTACAATCGATTCAGCCTTTTCGTAGATTATTCCGGACAGACAGACAGACTGACAAAAAGTTTAAAAGCACGCAAATGACCCCTGATCTTATAGAATACTAGCTGTTCCCCGCGACTTCGCCCGCGCGTAATTTATTACGATTCGATATCATGGGCTTTAATTTTTGTGCGGAACCCTAATTATTTTTCAAAAATTAAAGGTAGCCTAAGTTACAACTTATAACATCTGCTATCTGCCAGTGAAAGTCCGGTCAAAATCCGTCCAGCTGTTTCGGAGATTAGCCGGAACAAACAGGCAGACAGACAGACAGACAGACAGAAAGACAGACAGACAGAAAGACAGACAGACAAAAATTTAAAAAATCGTGTCTTTGTTATAAGTACCTCATATACTTTCATATTAGTAAAAAGCTGTTATTTCGACATTACAAACAGACACTTCAATTTTATTTATTTGTATAGATATAGAAGCCTGCTATTACAATACACGACAGACATTTCAATTTTCTTTATATGTATATACGTAAATATAAGAAATCACCTGTGTTTGTTGTTCTTTCGTATACTAAAGTGTCCTATATTTTCCGCTACGTTTCACATTTAGACCATACGTGTGTGCCCATAAAAATAAACCATTGCTGAGGGCGGGTCAGTACCCGCGTACCCGCGCGCCGCATAAAGAAGTGTCTGTTCGAGTCTGTAGTCTGTAGTGCTTTCAATTGTTTTTCTTTAATCGCTAGTATCAAAGCTCCTGAGAAAACCAATACGAGCGATTACACGAGCAATACAGAATAATTCCAGGTTTACTAAGCGAGACACAGAGTAGAGTAAAGAGATAGGTTGTAGAGCCATACAGAGTCATGTTTTTTTTTTCATAAAAGTAAGGTGGCAAAAGCGTCCACCGGACGATGGGGCTCATGCCGTGCCGTAGACACGTTTACCGTCGATTAAGAATTAAAATTTAGAAAGCCTTGTCGCCCCTGAGGTCTAAGATAGAATAGCAGTAAAAGTAGCCTCCGGTTCTGTATTATTTCAGTGGTTCTTTAGTTAGTTATAAACGTGATTTTTACGTGCTCGAGTCATGCTGCAGCTATATTATAGTTGTAGGACGAATGGGTCGACTCAACCGAGGTAGGATCGCATTCTCACAGGATACCAGCGTAAAACAGTAATTTAATGGTGATGTGTTTCTTATGGTGAGTGTAGAGAACCGGAGACCCTTCTTAATGGAAATAAGGCATTTAATATAAGTCTTGAGAGTGACGACGCATCTGCATTTTGATTCTTAGACATTTACATCTATCTTCAAGAATAGATGTAAATGTCTATGAACCACAGCATCCACTTACCATCAGGTGGAATTTGTCTTTTTATAGGATAGGGTGACAAACGAGCACACATCTATCCTCAATAAAGACTCAAAATGCAGATGCGTTGTCACCCGTGAGGACTAAGATGGAATGCCTCGTTTCCAGTAAAAAGGGTCTCCGGTTCTCTACACTCACATACGAAAATCAGCAGCGTTAAGCTGCTATTTTACGCTGGTATTCTGTGAGAGCGTGGTCCTACCCCGGTCGAGCCGACCCGTTCGTGCTATAACCATAATATAGCTGCAGCATGGCTCTACTACGTACAAAACTTACGTACAAGACTTTAGATGATATAAGTTTGCGCGTATGTAATCACGGGCACAGGTAGAAAGGAAATACAATATACGCCATAAACCGATTAACAACTTATTAGCATAACAACGCGACACTTACAGGGATTGCCACACATTTTATCTTATCCCAAGCAAACAAGCTTGTGTTCCCACGGTGGGTAAGCTCTGAGTGGTTTTTAAACGGCGATAACGGAACGCGTATGTGATTTGCCTGGCAGTGCCTGACAGTGTGAACGCCAACGATTAAATCAATTATCGGGAACGGGTGCGACGAATTTAACTTACGCAATGAATATGAGAATTGATGACAGGACTCTTCAACCATGAGATAAAAGTTATACATGAAATAAATTATAACCTGACTGAATATAAAAGTGAAACAATTGTACTATTTAATTCATGCAACTGTCACTTTCAATTTGTTTATGTTATAATTTATACTATGAATAAAATTTATATGAATCCGTGCCTAAAACACCTAAAACACATAATTTAAATTTGTTACTTTTAGTAAGTAGGGTTCTATACCAAAAAATTGCCAAAATCCTTTTAAAAACTCAGTTTAGTAAGAAGTAAAAAAATATTTCAATAACGATTTGTAAATTACCTACTCTCTAAATTGGTCTCTGCTAATAGTGTTCTGTGAGCACGACATCATTCTTTTTAATTTACTAGACATGATCTAACTTCATACAGCCTCTTTTATATCGTTTATTACACTTTTGGTAAAATAAAAACCATACCTTCTTAGAACGGACTCAAAATAGCAAACTAAGGCTTAGAAATAAATCATCTTGAAAATGTTTGGCTTATAATTTTCTATACATACCGACTAGTTGATTGATCAATGGCTTTTGTTATAGGTACACACTGATCGCGTACTACGACATGTACTCGCAGATCTACACCAGCACTAAGATCTGGGTGCAGCTGCTCCTCATATGGCTCGTGTCGTTCGGCATCATGGTACGTACCAATTTAACTGATTTCTGATTTATTTGTTTTTTTTTATAGGAGAGGGGCAAACGAGCATGCGGCTCACCTGATGGTAATTGACTACCGCCGCCCATGAACAACTGCAACACCAGGGAAATCGCAGGTGCGTTGCCGGCCTCTTAGAAAGGAGTAAGCTCTTCTCTTGAAGGTCCTTAAGTCGTATCGGTCCGGAAAAATCGCCGGTGGTAACCTATTCCACAGAGGGGTCGTACGAGGAAAACTCCCAGTGAAACGTACAATGGTGGACCGCTAAGCACACAGATGATGTGGATGGTATTGGGAGTTTTGCCGCGATGTGCGTTCGTGAAATTTGGCGGCTGGATTTAATCCGAACAACACCTCTGAGCATTGCCCGTGGTAGATGCGAAAGAAAATGCAACAGGAGAGGACTCGGTCGTCGACGATTCGAGCCGCTCTACGCTGGATGCGGTTAAGTGGAAGGCGCTGGTACTGGGGAGCCCCAGTCCATAGATGGGAACTGTATTCCATGTGAGGCCGAACCTGTGCCTTGTAAGTTGCAGGCGGTGCGCCGACATGTAATACTGTTCCGCTCTGCTAAGCACGCCAAGCTTTTTAGAGGTCAATTTGGCCTTCTCTTCCAAGTGACCACGAAACTGCACGTCACTCGACATGTCGACGCCGAGGATTCCGATACTGGCTGAGGCATCAAGGTGAGTGCCTTGAAATTGAGGAGATACGACAAAGGGGCTCTTTTTAGCGGCGGTTTGCTTGAAAGACTCCTTCTAAGGAGTCTAGGTAGGTACTACCCTCTTACCTATTTCTGCGTGCGTGTTCGTATGCGTGTGCGTGTGCGTGTGTGTGTGCGTGTGTGTGTGCGTGTGTGTGTATGAAATAGTGAAGGATTATCTTTTGTTTAAGAAGTCAATAAATAAAATCCTTTCTCTAAACAAACAAAGTGTGTCCAAAACCGACGATCAGATTAACGATAATAAGTATCCACAAACGCGTAGGCAATAATAAATGAGACATAACGCTTCTCATGGCGTTAATGTGAATACATTAAATAATTATTGATTATAAATAATCACAGTAAATAACAATGTCTGTTTATGTTTTTGTAATTATGTTTTAGAAATAAAATTATTTTACTCTATTTTTAAATAGTACAAAACAATTAAAATAAATCATATGCTCCTAATAAACAATGTTTTATAATACCGCAACACCAATAGCGTGTTAACCACCTTTCATTTTATTTATAACTAGCAACCTCCCCCCCCCCCCCCCCCGAATTCGCGAGATTTTTAAAATGACTTAATTGAATGAATTTAATATCCCAATTTTTCCATTTCACAAAAAAATTTCACGAATAAGTCTCTATCTATTTGTAAAGTTTCATCACAAATTCACAATCGCTTTAATACGATGAAAATAACCCCATGAGCAGTCAAAGCCAGTTATTTCAATATTACAGACAGACGCTTGAATTTTATTTATATAGTCGTATTTTTATATTTATTACAGTTTACTATGAAATTTATTAGATACGACTTTCATTCTCTTTGTAGTTATTTCACTATTTTACTAAATGACGAATGTATTATCGGCTACTAAAGTATTGTTTTGGTTATAGATGTCTTTGAGAGCTTGAAAGATTTTAGGATTGATTGTAGAAATTACCATGCAAGATAATAAAAATACTACATATAGTAGATTATAATTTAATAGATAGATATTAACTACAACAATAGCAATAAGAATTTCAATCACGAGGTGAGTAATTTTTATTTTAAAAATCCTTCTCAATGGAAACAAAATAAAATTAAATGTATGCGTAATAAGGGAAAAGCATAATATGTATCGTAGTCTAAAATTCAGAAGAGTGTTTCTGCTCGATGTCTCAAAAAACCTAGCACGGAAAATGCAGGCTTAAATGTACTATAAAGATAAATATAGGAAAAAGATACAAACTATTCCAGACTTTTTGGGATTTAGGTGATTTAGTAAAACAAAGAGCGTATATAAATGCGAGTATGGTTGATGTTCAGCCTCAGTACAAATATACGAATGCTGAAAGACCCAGGCACAACAACAAAGCATTTTATTTTAAAATCGACAGAAAAATTATCAGAGTTTGTAAAACTTTTTATAAAGCAACTTTGGATATCTCAGATCGCATGATATTTACAGTACAAAATAAAATTAATAAAAATGATTTTTGATTTAATGATTTGAGAGGAACACATCAACACGATAAGAAAATTGATTCCGAAATATGAGCTGCGATCATGAAACACATTAATTCTATCCCGAAGGTTGAATCTCATTACTAACGAGCTTCTACAATGAAAGAATTTATAGAAGATAACAACACTATTAAAGATTTATACAATGATTTTAAAGTAGACCAAAAAAACAGAATAATACAGCATGTACAGATATAACTAACTATAAAATATTTACAAATTAATTTAATCTGTAATTTGTTCAACCGAAAAAGGATCAATGTGATCTATGTAATTCTTATTCTAATTTTAATGAAAAAAAAAGACGTAAGAGAAATACTTAAAACATATAGAAGAGAAGGATTATAGTAGGGTCGAGAAGGATCGCAAAAAGTAGATAAGAATATGAGAGTAGCGGTGTAGGATTTAGAGGCAGTGTTGCAGTGCCCAAAAGGTAACAGTTCCTCCTTTTACTATAAGTGTTAACTTAATTACTATAATTTAACCCTAACTGAATTAACGCCGAAGGATTCTAAAGTAAAAATGTCTATTTTTGACAGAGAGTCATGCTGGTGGTGCGATTGAGATCGGATGTTGTGTATGGGTATATCTGAAAGCTATACGCGACAAAGATGGTGATAAAATAGAAGTAATTTTCTACTTTTGCTGCGGACAGACTAAAAATAAATATATAACATCTCTTTATTTATATTCTGTGCAAAAATCAAATATTAAGAGCATTACACATAAATTTTTGATCAGGGGCCACAAGCAACATGAGGCTGATAATGTGCATAGCCTCATTGAGAAAGAAATTAAGAAAAACTATGATTAAGAATGCCAAAAAGTCTCAACCTCCATTAATTATGAATGAGATGAATTATCAACCATTTTATGATTTGAAAATGTTGCAAGAAGGGTGGGGATACAATTATACAATAAATACAGATGGACGGAATGTTAACTGGATTGAAATAAGTCTTAAAAATAACTACAGAAAACTCTACCTTACTCTTCTACAAGACATACAAGGATAAAGACTATAAGGAGGTTAATGTAAGAAATAAAAGGAATAAAATGAAACTAACGACGGAAATAACACTTCAAGGTGCCTATTTTAATAAACAATAAATAAGTGAAAACAAGAAGAAAGATTTAAGGGAGCTAATTTCAAAAGCATTAATACCTTCTTTTATGCAGGGTTTTATAACAATATACTTTAGTATAATATTATTTATACATTAAGTTTTAAAACCAGATCTCATTATTTTTGATTTTTTAGTGTGATATGAAAACCAAAACAATTAGTGTTTAATTATGAATATCTCTGAAGTTTTACAAGCTTTTACTTAATAGTTGTATTACCAACACCGAAGGATTTGAACTGTTGATTAAGACATCGTTAAGTAGTGTTACTAAAATAATGTTATCTTTTTAAATAAATAAAACATGTAAACATAAAAATATTTCTTAATTTTATTAAAAATAATACCTACCTGTGAAAGAGCAATGGCAGACTTTCATACATAAAATTAGTTGAGAAGAAATGGTAGCGTCTATATACCAAAAATATCTTAAAATGTTAAACGTCAGTCCCTTAATAAATCTGTTAAAGAATTTCGTACAGAGAAGGCGTCAAAAAAAGATATTTACATTTCAACCTTTTTAGGTTATGTCCTATGTCACTTGGAAAAAGTCATGCTTCCTGTAGTTTTTTGATGTTAGCTTAATACATAATACATAATTGAGAGTTTTTAGATTATTGTATCTCTATTATATATTTGCATACTATAAATGTATATTTCTGGCATGGCTCTTGTATCATAGTGACATTCTCAGAAGGGCTAGAACCCAGAGCCGTAAAGCCAGTAAAAAAAACAGTGACATTTTATTTTAGCTAGTGTTGGCATAACATTAAATGGAATCGTTACATAGTACTATGATTGAGATAATGCATTATGTAGGAAATTCTTTGTAAGAGACTTATTCTCAGCCAAATCACTATTATTTTTATTATTACTGATAGTACAGTTATTACTAATAATAACTAAATATAAAAATATTTTGTGTGTTGTGTTGATAGTCTTACAAAGTATATACGAAAATAGTATGAATATACTAAATGGCAACATTTAAATAGAGTAAAATGATTTAAGTCATTTGATATTCCAAAAAATGATTGTTTTTTTCTGTGGCTTTAATTAAAATACATTTTTATTTGAAATATCATAGAAATATAATAAAACTCATTTTATACATAACTTATTTCTAGACGCTATAATTTTTGTCAACTATTTTTCTGCCATTGCTCTTTATATGAATTAAAATCAAGAAAGTAATAATTAGAAATATTTCGTCGACAATTCATGCCTATAATAAATAAATTTGAATTAGAACATCCTTTTTAAACACCACGGCACTTTTTTATCCGTCCAGTAATATGTACAATTGATAAAAATTTTTTTCGTATTATATTTTTTACAGAGAGGGAAGAAATCAAAACCATCCGTTTTTTGCAGGCGAGTGTTTTTTTTTTATAGAATAAGGGTGACAAACGAGCACACAGTCCACCTGATGGTAAGTGAATGCTGTAGCCGATTACAATCACATTAACCTCAATTAAGACTCAAAATGCAGATGCGTCGTCACCCCTGAGGACTGAGATGGAATGCCACGTTTCCAGTAAAAAGGGTCTCTGGTTCTCTAAACTCATCATATGGAACACAGCAGCATCAAGCTGCCATTTTACGCTGGTATTCTGTTAGAGCGTGGTCTTTCTCCGGC